GTCGCACCAGATGAGTTATGTATTTGTTACTATACTCATAGAGTAATTTCAGATAAGGTAAACCATCTGCTCGGCCGGATAGACTCGTGCTACTTCTTAGTCTAATACCAATCTTAAGCTTACTCTTATATCTCCTAGTCTCAATAGATCTAGTGTACACCGGTTTACGCGAGTTAGTTCCAGAATGAGAACAACTGTATTCTAAGTTTAATTCAAATTGTTCTGGTGTTGAAACTACAAGAAGGTTCAACACTTACAAATAAGTGGGTTGTTAGTTTGATGGAGTATGATTGGTTAGTATTCCATATTTTATAGAGAAAAAATATCATAATAATAACCAATGATAAATACTAGTTTAGATCTGGTTCCAACATTCAATTAATATTCATTTTTATAGACACTTAACTTTAATTGACTTTTATCTATGGAACTCCAGTGAAGTTTGGCAGTAAAAATGGCAAAAAATTTGTCAGAAAAAATGCCCGGTAAGTATGCTAACGCGATCTTTAAGATGACAATAAAATAAGAACTATGAAAAATAAGAAGGTTTACGTGCCTTTTTTTAGACAGATGTAGCAAATAAGATGACTGTAAATTGATTTCGTCATCTGAATGTCCTGTGGTTTTTATGTCCTGCCTTCTAAATGTCCTGCCGTCTTAATGTCCAGTCGTCTTGATGTCTTTGTCGTCCTTTTTACTTTTACTTTTTACTTAGCACGTTAAAGAAGGTAGAAGAGTACGAAACTAGGATCAAGATGGCAGGGGATGTAATTGAAGGGGAGTTAAAGTGGTTAAAGTGAGACTGGAAGACGCCATTTTCAGTTATGTTTCAAATGTACCACACCATATAGAACATGAAGTGTTTTTCGCATGCCAGCTCTAAAAATTGCCAGCGCTAAAAAATGAATTACTTTTTTAATGATTAAACTGTTGCGATTGAAGTTCCAAGTGAAAATCAAGAACCCGCACCGGAGTTTCGAAACTGGCGACTTTCATGGCTTTTCAGTGACAGTCTCTATAAAATTTCAAAATAACTGATGATAATGGATTGTTAATTGATTGATTATAGCGTTAGGAAAACACACAAAAAAATCCGTTTTAATCAGTTATAATGAATAATAATCGATTACTTTTAGATTATAGAGGTTTATAATTTTTTATGTCATGCTGAAATTTCAACTTTATTTCAGTACACTGTGTTCAAAACTAGAATGTTGTATTTGTTATTTCACATATGTTAATTTTATAAAATTGAAGTTAATTTTTTTTTTCGTTTCTAACAATTAATAATAATCATAATAAACTGTTTCCAAATGAAATCATCAAAGGAACTGAATTACAAATGAAGAATTCTTTTAGAAAAACATCACTTGAGAGAGCGCCATAAGGCTAAATTAGGCCTGTTTTCAGGCGTCTCAGAGAATTATTTCGTTGATTTTTGTTGACCACTCCACTTGGTTTACCTTCCTTCCTTCACCTCTACATCTTTTCGTGTGTGTGTGTGTGTGTGTAGGGGGGGGGGGCGCTAAATAAGGGAAACATATTTAGTCCTCCACATTTACCACCCCTTCCCAACATTAACGCAAAGGGCACATATGAGGTTGGTGTCGAAGGTGGCGGTGGTGGTGGTGTTGATGGGGGAGGGGAGATGTGGGGGAGGAGTTGTGGGGAGTGGGGAAGTGGGGGTTGGTGGGTTTGGGGTGGGGTAGAGGACTCAAACGTGGGAGTTGGTAAATGATACTGTGTGTGCATGGGGGGTTAGACATTAACTAGGCAATGAAACAAATTCGACAAGATTGAGAACTCGAGCAGGCTGTGGGTAATGCAGAAAATGTTCCGAAGTTTTCAAATGAATTTGCAAAAAATCTTGAGATTATAATGAACTTCAAACCAATTTTAATCGATTATAGTGGGTTTTCCTTTCACTTTGAGAAAAATTGCTTTTTATCTTTTAAACTCCGGCGGAACCGATAAATCTCACCCTTAGAATATCTCAACATTTATATATCAAATTTTTCCTACTTGTTTTTCAAGTAACAGGACAGATTTCGAAAGGAAAGCACCCAATACAGCATGGACGTTAATATTGCGTTGGTCAATACCAACCGACAATTCCATTTTTGGGAAAACTGAGTTTAAATCCAGTGAAAACAAACATAGCCGCTCAATCCCTCACCCAGCCATATTTGAATTACTTCATTTTGGTTCCTCGCAAAAATTAGCGCAGAATACAACGTTCAACCTTTCATGGAAAAAATGGATGATTTCAACATTTTTACACTCTCTGGCAGAGTAAAAACTTTCCCACTGGTACATCAACACACTCATAAAACACGTCAAAGACAAAAACAAAAAGAAGACAAACCACAACCTGACCACAAGTGAAAGAAGTAATGGAAGAAGAAACATTCCGAAGAACATTTCCTAAAAACAATCAAAATAAATTCTTTTCAAAAAATTCAAAGTTTTTACTAACCCCGGTATGGGTGCGATCCGTTCGTAGTTTATTTTTTATTTGTTTTCTCAAGCTCTATTTTTTTACTTTAAAAATGATTGAAGAGATTTTTGAAATAACCAACCTTTTTAAATGACATTTCAATAGTCAAAACTGTAAGAGGCGCTGACAGTTTACAGTCAGGCGGTTTTGTTCTATCATCCAATAAATTTATTCTCCACTAATCGCGTTTTACTCATTGTTTTCAGTATCTAATGAGATCTACAAAAAAGTAGCATTAAGATTAGTATTAGAATAATGATTTGATCTAGAATCTGCCGAAAAAAGAAAAGAAAATCTACAATCCGATCACGGCTGAAATATGCGATGGAAAAAAAGAAACCCTCCGGAGAAATTTTTCTTAAAATCAATAGGAACGTTCTTTTTTTCAAAACTTTTCAAAATTTAGAGAAAACGCCGGATGGGTGCGACCCGTTCGGAAATTTAGTTGTGTTTGTTGCCTTTTGATTTGAAAATGATTGTAGAGTAATTTGAACTAAACAATCTTTTTCTAAATAGTTTTTTTCACATTCAAAGCTGACCATTGTTTTCACATTCAAGGCTGATTCATTAATGTTTACAGCCAGATCATTTTGTTCGATCATTGAATAAGGTTGTTCGCCAAATCATCGCGTTTTACCCAGTTTTTTTTCGAGATCTAAAGGAACCTAGAAAGCAAAGTAAGATTAATTTCATATTAGAACAAGACTGCTCGTATCAAGGCGAAGCCCTGAATGTTTCGACTGCCTTTTAAGGTTTATGGAGCAGTAATAACATTAAAAAATTCAATGAAATAAAACAAAATGAAAAAAAAAATTTCTAAAATTTGAAATTTTTGATAAAAATCATCCCCTCACACGCCATATAAAGTACAAAAGGATAAATTTCGCTCCTTGTAACAAACCAATCACGGCAAATAGGCTTCTTTTAACCAATTTGGAAGGATTTCTAAGATGGATTAACTCTCCGCTTACGGGTTAATAACGCGAAATATATCGCGCGTTAATTGTCCCAAATTGACCAAAATGGCAATCTTTAAACCCCCGTAACTTTACGAAAACTCATCACAGGTGAAATATCTTTTCAAATTTGAGCTCAAGACAACAATACCTTTCAAACGATATTTAAAAAATTCCGTCAAAAATGGCTAGTTAAAAAGTCGAAATTTGTCTGAAGAAAAAAAAACCCACCCGAGCACAAATATTCCGTTACTTTCGTATCGAAAGTCGGAACAATAAGAGCCCCAATTTAGCCCCGTTCTGGGAGCAATTTTTTCCGTTCTCCCATGGCTTCTGATTTATTTGACTAATTTTCGTTAATAATGTCTGTTCTTTTTCAAAGTGGAAAATTTTCTAATCTGAATTCATCAATCAGTTTAATAAAACTTTAAGTCATCGAACACGCTGAAGTTGGAAGTTTCTCGTACTTGAATCAGTTTTTGTACAGTTATTTCTAATATTGCATCAGAGCCAAACTATTTTTTGTCAGGTTCTTTCAGTCCAAAACATACAATTTTTTTTGTTTGGTTTCATTTTGTTTTACGTTTAGAGCATTTGTGCCAACATTGATGTTATTTTTTCTTTTTTTTAGTAGAAATTCATTTTAAAGGGTAACCATCAGAAAAATTATTTTGGTATTAATATGCAACTGAAAAACTTTAGCCAATTCTGATCATCCCTTTTAATGTTTTTTTTTGATTTTTAAACCTCTAAAACATCTCTGGATGTATCAATTAACTGCAGGTCCACTAGTTTCCACTGGTCCACTAATCATAGATGAATATCTTGCTTGAGTCAATTAATGTCGAACACCATTATGTTTGGCTGACCCTAAACTTTTTCTTAAGTCGCCAATGTATGCTAACTTTGAGAGGGGGGAGCGCGCCGCATAAGCACAAAAGTGTCCAAAAAATAGCAAAAAAAAACGTTTTTGGTGTTTTTCATAAGTACACTTGCAGCGCAAAAAAATTGGCCACAACAGCGGCTTTACAAATTTGGGAGATAAGAAAGTCGACAAAATTTTCGAAATTTTTTTTAAAATTTGCCTCCCCGGTCCCCCTGGATAAAAACCTAGATCCGCCTATGCTGACGAGCGAACCGAAAAACGCAGTATCGTGTTCGTAAGATCTGATCAAATTTTCTAGGAAACTGTTCAAATCATTCATTTTCCGACCTTCTTCTGTTCTTAGAACAATCGGCCTAAAAATAAGAAAAACTAATTAAGGTGAGTAAGTCAACAGGAGAAATTTGTGTTCAGTTGCGTACTTGCCACTTGGTGCTTTTTATGACAACTCTCGATTTTGGGCTAACTTTTCTTGATTCTTCGCTTTCTTCCTAATGAAAGTTACACATACGCGATCATTTATAATACATGCCTTTGGTCTCTGTTATAACTTAGCGAGTTTAATAACAAGCCGAGTTTTCATGCTCTATAAAGGTAAACATTGCCATTAAATAGGCTAAGATCAAATCCGCCATAAAACCATTTCAGACCAGATTTCCCGGCTGTAAATATCAAATCTGGCCAGAGTTTAAGCGCACTTTTACATTGTCGTATCTTGTGTACCAGGGAGCCAAAGTGGGTTTGTTTCGTTCATTTTACAGGTTTTGGGCATAAAATTTAAACTATTCTTTAGCCTGTATTTTCATTTCACATTGAGGGTCGACCCATAGTAGCCAAAACCATTTCAAGTTTTGTATTATAAAACTGACACGTTTCCATTCACATATTACCGGTAGCATAAATCTCAAAGTTGAAGTTAATAACTGGAGTAAAAAGGACTTATTTTTAATCTTGTTTTATTTTAAACTATAATTTTTAAGTTATTTATAAACTAGCTATAAATTGTGATTTGTGATTATAAATCAAGATGTCAATCCAGTCTATTTGCGTGAACACTTTGCCCGAGAAGCCAGACTGTCCCGATCATCTGGACTACACAATCCAGTTTCCAGTGCCAAAATCAGAGGTCAGTTACAAAAAAAGAGGGATCTAAAAGGGGTATTTTTGGATCTTCTGTGAAGCTCCGGGATTTTCCCACTTTTTCCGCCAAAACTTCATAATTTCACAAAAAGAATCAGAGAAAAATAAGTGTTTGCCCATGATTGGCGGAGTTAAAATCAATTGTATTGCTTGATTGTTTAAGTTTTGCTCTCAATTAGCTCTGTTGCGTTTCTTAACTTTTTCTTTGGGCGGAATTAGTATTAAAAAACCCTAAATTTGTCCTTGTAAACTTTCTTGTCAACAATTAGGGTCAACAACTCTCTTGTCAACAATTAGGGCCAACAATCTCTTGTCAACAATTAGGGTCAGCGTCGCGAGGGCGAATGCCTCTGGCTGATCGTATGTAGAGTTGCAAGCTTCATTTGAACCTATTTGTTTGTAAATAGTTTGATGCTAAATTTGTTATGAGGCTTGTGATTTTGCTGGAATTCAATTTATTTATCTATTTAATTAAAGGAAGTCCCAATTTTTTTGATCCGTATGCTGAAACCGGGGAGGAAGATTGTCTTAGTTTTTCAAAATTTTTCTCCACGCAAAAAAAGATGCCAAACATAAATGCCAGAAGAAGCCGAGCGATGCATCATATTAAAGCCTTTCCCATTGTGATTCGATCGATATTTTAAAACGTTGATGAAAAATTCAATCTTGAAGACGTTCTGAAAAGTTTGATTTCATTTTACAACGAGTAAACCAAGCGACTGAAGCAAGTGAGTATAGGGTAAAGCAGAAAGCATTTTACAAATAAAACATACTAAACAAGCTTTGAGAAAACCACACGTTCAATTTTCTCTTTTCTGTCAAAAAAAATTAAAAGCAATCTAAAAATGATAGAAAAAATTTCAAAAACTTTGAAAACATTTTTTTTGGAAATAAGCTTAGCATGAATTACTCTTCATTCTCTCTTTACACGCAAAAAAATGATAAAAAATCAAAAAAACATTCAATTTTTTTTTTAATTCGCAAACGGAAAGTTCGGGACCATCGCGACTGCGCTTGTTACTCAATTTCTGGTTCCAAACATTTCCCCGATGTTAGATCACAGTTAGAAAACGGAACTTTTTGCACGAAATATTGCAGCGTGTTGAAAATATATCAGTCAAAATTTGAAATTAGGCTTCAGAGACTTTCAGAAACATTCCTGGTTTCCTGTTGTCGGTTTCAGAAATAGGTTAAGCTTATGTGCAAGCATATCGTAATATCGACAAAAATGAGCTCACGCTGCGAGCAAACGTTTTCTTAATTAAAGCTTTGAGCATTTTGGATAATCAATTCTTAAAGCGTGGTCTGAAACCCCAGAATTATGCCAAAAATTTCTGACGGCTATTCTTTGCAAAGTTGTTGGGGTTTACTAACAACATTGTTGCGAACATAAAGCGCAGAAAAGCAAATTAGTACAATAATCATAAAACAGGAAGATTTTGACCAAATGGCCACGCAACAGATATTTAATATTCACAATGTTCTTACTGCACTTAAAAGTCTAAGGAGTAAGTGTTCGCCTTAAAAAAATGGTTGAAATTTCCAAAAAAAAAGAGTAAACTATTCAAAATTTTCTATTTTTTTAAATTTAAAAATCCACCCCCACACGCTATTTCAAGTGCAGAGTGGGATGTTTCCTATTTACCGAAGTCTTCTATAGACCAAAAAGCATGCCTCAATTTAATTTGGAACAATTTCTGGGACCAATCAAGTCTCCGGGTACGCGTTTTTAATCAAGTCTCCGGGTACGCGTCCGGGTACGTAGTTGGGAAAACCCCGGATTGACCAAAATGCTAGGATACAATTGTCATATATAGTAAAATGATCATTATAAATTTTCCATAAAATTCCATAAATACAAAAAATTGCATGAAAGGTCTTTGATTAGAGTTTTTTTCTGAAATGGAAATTGTATGACTACATTTTCCCATAAACCAAACAAATTGATTTGTTGAAACTTAATTTCTAGTCCTTGCCTCATATTACTCGCTTCATAGTCCTCGCCTCATTTTAATGCCAGAAAGACTCCTTGTTTCTGTCCGAGTTGGTGCGGCACACATTTCTTAGTCTAAATGGAACTAAGAAAAACTATATATCTCTTTGTTAACCGTATCTTGGCATTGATACAAAAAACACCGTCAGTTATTTAACTAATTTTTTTTAAATTACCAATTAGAAACCAATTATTGAATAACCAATGGTTGCTGTGCAAGTAGCACAAAATGCTCTCTCTCACCAAATTTTCAGAAAAAAAATTTTTTTTCTTCTTCAAGTTAGTGTCTTCTTGTACGTCGTATGATGATAAAACTATAGGAACGCGTAGAAAATTAGTGACTTGGGCATAAACGAATCCAATGGCCTCCAAAAAATTGAAAAAGAAAAGATAATAAAAAAGTCGAATTTTTTGTTTCAATTTTACTCGATTTACTTGCTCGAAAATAGCCAAAAAATGAAACATTTCAAACCGGTTTTTCTCGACAGTAGAGGTGTGCGCCAGCCGGCTCAGTCGCCGCCTCTACCACGAAATGCACACGGCTCCAGCCTCGGCTGAATCAGTTCGTGAGTAGTACAGTAAGAAGTCAGCTACTCTATTGCGTCACCTATTATTTTAATGAGTTAACCAACGTTCTAATTCGTTAACTATGTGTAACTACATTCACAACTACCAGCCACTAATTTCAAACACAGATTTTTGTTCAAGAAATTTATGCGCTGGTTAAAAGTTTTTAAAAGTTAAGGAAACCAGGATCAAGGATGATTTCAGTCGGCTGAGCAGCCTTCGCCGACATTTTTTGCTTTGAGCCACCGAGAATACTCGGTGAACCGGCGCGCGTCTCTACTCGACAGAAAGAAAAAAATATATCGTTTGAATAACCACTAGAAGGGCTTTAATATCAAAAATCACCCTGTCCGATTATTATTTTTGGTACCTGATTTTGTATTGAAAACAAAACTAAGACGGACCCATTGTTCAATGGTCGGAACAACTAATTTCGAGTCGATCTTTGCTACAATCAAACTTCGAATTGTCATTGAAAAGCAAACAGATTGTCTGGTTCCACGCCTCAAATCAACGTTTATCCATTTCGAAATAAATCCGTTATCATTAATATTGGAGACGTCACACTACTTTGGCGGGTGGTGTTTTTGTGATATTATCCGAAGCCGAGCACAATTGTAAACGTACAACGTATTGATATTGTGTTTTTTGATAAGTATATGGCCTCCAAGTTAATTTTTTTTTATTCTTATGATTTCTATTGTGATTTGATTATTATTTAAATTTCAAGTATGATTATCATTATTAATATTGAAAAGATGAAATATATATGTGTTGTGTTGCAGATTAACACCCTTCGGCGTTTCACGGAGAAGGTGGAGCGTTTGTTTGGAGTGAAGGTGGTGTTGACTGCAGTGGTGCCTGGAATTGAGGGCGAGGAGGCCCAGGAACTCATCCAGGTGTCCAGCAAACACAGGAAGAGGGACGAGGCTGAGAAGGCTGAGGTTAGGAGAAAAAAAACATTAATAATAGTGTTCTGAATTGAAATCAGAAACATAATTCTTAAACTTTTACCACATGTTCTGACTTGAAATTATGTGTTTGCTCGGTTGATAAAATATCACCAAAAGCAAACATTACAGCATGTGTTGTTTCTTTCTGATTGGTTTAACCAACAGATGGAATGTTGAAAATATCAAAATCTATGGTATATAAGCTAAGCGAAAATATACCAAACATCACTTTATCACTTCATCACTTTCTCAAATCTCATAACCACTCTCATACTGAGACCCCCAACCATCCTAATAACCAAAATCTCAAATCTCTATCTCGATAACTATAAATCCATACCCCAATGTCTCTTGATATAAAATTGATGTGTGTCCTCTATATTTGAAATAATATACCTATTTACGAGTGAAAGAAACTTTGTCTGTTGAATAAGAATAGGAAAGTCTTAGCAACATTCAGAAAGACCCCTTGTTCTAACTAGCTGCGATTTGGTCGATAGCATAAGTTAAATCAAGTTAGTTTGGAATAACTGGTGCGACCAGTGAGGCACACAAATTTCAAAAATTCACTCAATTTTCAAAATCTCAAAAAGCTGAGATTATAAAAATTTCAAAAAGTTGAAAATTTCAAAAGTTGAAATTATCAAAATTTCAAAAGTTGAAATTATCAAAATTTCAAAAGTTGAAGTTATCAAAATTTCAAAAGTTGAAATTATCAAAATTTCAAAAGTTGAAATTATCAAAATTTCAAAAAGTTGAAATTATCAAAATTTCAAAAAGTTGAAATTATCAAAAATTCAAAAATTGAAATTATCAAAATTTCAAATTTTCATAAAGTTGAAATTATCAAAATTTCAAATTTTCAAACTTTCATAAAGTTGAAATTATCAAATTTCAAAATTATCAAAACTTCAAATTGGATATCTTAACTTGATAAAAGTAAGATGGCCGATCACCCAATCACCCATCCCAACTTGTCTTTTGTATCATTCTCAGGAAATTATCCAGACCTAAACACAAAAGCCTTTTGGACTTCAGTTGAGAATAAAATTGTATTCTCACTAGGGCAACGACCCACAGACGCTGGCGCTCAGCCTAACTATGATCACAGACAAAAAAGTTTGTTTGGATCTCTATTAAGAGAAACAGCTCTTGAATGGTATACTGATGAAGTAACTAATGCTACTACTTGGGCTGAACTAAAAAATCTTTTTCTAAAAAGATTCACTGATGGTAGAGATCGATTCAAGCATCGGTTCAAGCATCGTCTTAGATTGCAAATAAAACCCCTCCCAACGGCCGTAGACACGTGCCAGTAAAAACAAATACGGCACAGTATAGTATGTCAATTATAACTGAACTGCCGGCTTTGCTAAAACCTGTCTTAAACAAACAAATTTTATCAGAATCTGATCTATATAAACCAGCAAAAATAAGCCCAGAATCATTCTTTCAAAAACTTCTCAACCTCCAAAACCTTCCTCTGATACTTCTCAGCAATTGCAAAAATCAATAAATTTCAAAAATAATGTCTAAAATCACCGATCTCGAAGAAGGTGAAATAATGGACCTTGATCAATCAACGGACCAAATCATCGATGATTTGCTGAAAGTAAGTATAATTTCTATTTTCCGCCGCCGTCTAAAACAAAAATTTTTTTAGTTAGCTATATACACTCTTTTAATATTTCCCCAATAAATCTGCGCTTTTAACCCAGAGGACAATCTCTACGCTAATACAGCAAAAGATCTAAAAATTGCGCGTTTTGATTGTCAACTAATGACATCGAATAAAATGTTCTCACTCAATAAAGTAGCTCCCTGCAAAATACAACCTGAAAATATCGAAACTACAACAGCCGAGGTTACTCTTTACCAACGGCATTATAGTACAAAAATTAACGCGACAATGTGTCGTATAAAACACCAATCTATCCGATGGTTTTGTGATTCTTTCGATTCAAGCGGAATAGACGCTCGCCAAAATATAATCACAACTGATATACACATTTCCCCTGATACTTGTAAGCACGCCGCCGAACGGGGATATGTTAACTTAGGACACTCAAAAAATATTCCTTTTCGCTTCGACGAAAAAATTGTCACAAATACAAATAGAGGCAAAGTTGATGGCGAATACCACAACGAATGCAGTGATCGTTCTTGGATCCTTTTGGATACTTTCGAATCATACATGCAAAATATTTCCTTAACTGTCAATCTAAAAGATGGCACCGTTAATAACTGGCAAAACATTCCATTACCTTGTCCTGCATATGAAAACGGATGTGAAACAACATCACTTGACCCTTTTGCATATACTTGGAACGAGCCCGAAAACTGCATTTTTTCGGTTCTTAATAAATTCGAAGCAAAAATGATTCGAAATGAAGAAAATTAATATATTGTAAAAGACTCTTTTACTAAAATATCCAACCACCATACTCGAGGTAGAGACACTCAACAATTTATGCTAAAAATACTAAATAAACCACAATCTTTATGTGGACACCCAAAAATAGTCTACCCGACCCAATACGAATCATTGTTCATAGCATACCAAAACGGTTTTAATATGGATACTGGTTTACAAATAAACCCGAGTGCTAATACAGGAATTATTCATTCGGAGCCAAATTTGACTTACGTAAAATACGCAAAAGATGAAAATTATCCCTTTGCACCGGGACAAATAGACTACGAAGCTCATCTAGGAACAAAACTAGATTAAATTCTTTTTCGAAGCTTTTACATGCTTCGAACTGCCGAATTGGCACTTTTAACGAATCAATGTGAGTTAGAACGCTCCATGATTCTCAATACTTTAATGCTCTCTATCGAAAGCCTGCGTTTAGCCGGCTACATTTTGACCCGAAATAGGTCTATGTTTTTAGAGACCAATGGCAATGTTGCCTGGCTCTATCACTGCCCAAAATTTTATTCTCCATTACAATTAATGGATGCATGCTATAATCGGATACCAATTATGTATCGCGAAAAAATTCATTTCGTCGACCCGATCACTCGACAAACTTTTAAATCGGCAGATCAACAAGACTGCTCCGATAAGCATTTGAATCTTTATCAACTAGATGTTGATAACGATAATTCTTGGATCGAACTCACACCCTCTATTACTAGAGTAAAAGGTCCAGATCTGTTTAAGCCGAAAGAAATTAAACGGCAAGTAAAACACTCTCTTGCATCTAGTCATGATGCTTCTATTTACACTTATGCACAAATGCAAAAATTTTGGAGCATGATTACTGATCACTCTGAAATGAAGGGTATTTTACAAAAACTATCCCAAACTTTTCTTAATGCAAGAAAACACTTCTATCCCGACTCGAGTAGTCAATACGGATCTACGCAAAACATATACTTAGATTATCTTATCTCGCCTGATTTTTGGAAGAACGAGTACACTCGTGTTTTTGGTACAAAACAGTACTATTTAGAAAGATGCGGAATAATATTCGCCTCTTTCCTTTTCGTCAAGTTTATACTCGACGCTCTTGTATTTGTAATAAAAGTATTACACATACACAAACTAACCGGCCGAACTCTTCATTTCGGAAAAATTATGTTAGCCGCCTCTTACAATATACTTTTCACTTCTATAGTGAGTTCAATATTCGCTCAAAATGAGAACGATCAAAATATTGAGCTTGATCATAAGCCTCAGGCACCTCAACAAGAGGATTCTGAAAACGAAAGTCAGGATAAAATTTATCCTAGACTCCAACTAGTTGATTACAATAATCGACCCGCTGTACCGGTCTAATTTATTCTATGTTTTAGGATATGCCCACTGATCTTCTTCACACTCCACTTGAAGAAGACTTGCTCGACTTCGAAAACCTTCTGTCTCTAAATGACCCTATGGAAATGCCATCCAAAACAATCAACCCGATTAATCAACCAAAATTGAATACCAATTTTAAAATTCCAAAAGTGAAAAATTCTAACTGCATTCAAAACAGAAAAGCAATTGTCCGACCTTTCAAGATTCTCCCCTCTTCTTCAACTAGGCAAAACCTAGAATCTGAAACTGTAATAGTTCACCAATCTGCAAACTCTCTAGAACTTGAATCAAAAATCGCGATTCAAGTCAAAAAGGAACAAAACCTCAGCCCTAGGAAACCACCAAATTTTGACACCAGTCTAAATTATGCGCTCTCTCCCTTTATTAACCGATTTAAGATAGACACCTATCACCCTTACCAAAACGGTAACGGTGCATACCGTCTGGTTAATGCACAACTCCCCATCAACATATTTGTGTTCTGCAGCCTTTATAACTGCCCAAATGCAGACTCCGATCCTTGACTCCTACACGGATCAAGTGCAAAAGAATTACATAAACGACTTAAATTGCATCAATCAAATGCAGAAAACCATAACAGTGCTCCGGGAAAAAAATAAGGACCTCAGCAATAAATATCTGAGCCTAAAAACCCAGGTGGAAGGAAACTATTAGTTTCAAGACTATCTATTAACCTCCGTTCTTTTTATTTTTAAACTCCAACTGTGATTTGGCCGCCGCCACTTTACAAAGTATGTATGCTTCTACAATTATAGTCCAGTATTGCTGATAAGTATATTCGCTAAACCAAATTTGAAAAATTGTATTTGATGTTATATTTCTCAAAAGTATCCAGCTGTGATTTGGCCGCCGCCACTGCTCTACTCAACATGCACATACACTACAAACAACCATTTCTCACCCGACTACAAGCAGCCATTCTGTAACCGACTACAAGCAGCCATCCATCAACCGACTACACTACAAGCCGCCACTTTACGAACAAACTACCAAAATCAGAATAAAAACTTTACGCAAACTTTATTAAAACTTTTTTGATGTTTTGTAAGTTATATTATGCTTTTAAATTTTTTGTCAACGGGCATCACCGTTTAACAATCACCCTATAAGATGGTTGGATGTTCTGAATTGAAATCAGAAACATAATTCTTAAACTTTTACCATATGTTCTGACTTGAAATCAGAAACATAATTCTTAAACTTTTACCACTTGTTCTGACTTGAAATTATGTGTTTGCTCGGTTGATAAAATATCACCAAAAGCAAACATTACAGCATGTGTTGTTTCTTTCTGATTGGTTTAACCAACAGATGGAATGTTGAAAATATCAAAATCTATGGTATATAAGCCAAGCAAAAATATACCAAACATCACTTTATCACTTCATCACTTTCTCAAATCTCATAACCACTCTCATACTGAGACCCCCAACCATCCTAATAACCAAAATCTCAAATCTCTATCTCGATAACTATAAATCCATACCCCAATGTCTCTTGATATAAAATTGATGTGTGTCCTCTATATTTGAAATAATATACCTATTTACGAGTGAAAGAAACTTTGTCTGTTGAATAAGAATAGGAAAGTCTTAGCAACATTCAGAAAGACCCCTTGTTCTAACTAGCTGCGATTTGGTCGATCGCATAAGTTAAATCAAGTTAGTTTGGAATAATAGCCCTGGTTAACATCCAACCAACCAGCTCTCATCCCCGCACTACCAACTACAAACTCTTTCTACGTTCTACCCTACCGCAATTTGACCCTGAAGTCACATTGACCTTCAAATTATCCAGCACATATTGCCGACCCTATTGTTTAACTTTATTATTAAAAATTTATATTGATTTAAAGCAAAATTTGGACAAAATTTGAAATGAAAGACCCAAGGGAGATGGAAGCATTAACCCATTAATTGTGGTTGCTTCATTGTCCTCAATGGGTCCCAGATTGAACACTATTTTAGGACTCCAATTTCCGATAGAGCAACCTTAAAAATCTTCTTAAGCGTCTTCGGCGCTAATAAAGATTGATTTCAGGTCGGCGAATATGGCTAAATATGACATTTTTAAATAGTCGACAGAGCTAAAGAAAAAATTGAAATAGAGTGCCTACAAAATCGACAAACGTTTTCAAAAACCAGACCACCCGTCAAGAAAATTTACTGCACGCCACTGCAAACCTAGATAACTGTTCGTGTTTTCAGGAGTACTGTGAGAACTTGTGCAAAGGCAAATACCAAGAGTGCATTGTTTGTCCCACCCGATTCTACGACAAACTGAGACAGGGTCAAGAGGCGATTGAGAGGGAGACGAGGGTAGTCGTGGTGCTGACTAAAGAGTCCGAGATACTCGTCCAGGCATCCGACAAGGACAAACTTATGAAGGTCAAAGGTCAAATGGAGGATCTCGTCCAAAAGGTGAAGCAAGAGATCAAGAACGAAAACGCTTAGAAGAGTTAAACGTCGCCTATTTTGAACCAGAGAACAATTGAAGAGGACAAAACAAGTACAATTTCAGAAAAAGAAGTGTTTAAAGCAAAAAAAAATATGGGCAAAGAGCCGTTTACAATTTAAAATATATATTGATTTATCAAAAAATCTCAAAAAAATCTTTTCTTGATTTATGTGCAGTTTTTTCCCATACACTTGCCTGAACTTCTAGTGTTAAATTTTTGAATATTTAGTCGTAACTTGCATGAGTATGATGTTTAATTGTATAACTTAGTTTGTATAACTCGTGTAGTTCTCTAAATCTTTTGCCAGTAACTGATAGCCATTTCATATGAAAGGTATAAAAGTCCGCCACTACAGAGTATAGACAACGTTTTTCTATAAAAATTTCACAACCTTGGTATTTATATTTTCATTGGTACTAATTTAAAAAGCTTACACAGTTCGATCAAATTATTGAAATAATAAGAATTTGCAACAAAATACGCTAAGTTGTAGTCGAAAGTTTCGAAACATTACGGGTTCAAACTGTGTATTGGATAGGCGCACAATTTTGTGTCTGTATGTTCCTGGATTTCAGAGTCAAGTCTTTAAACATGTTAAAATTTTGTCGGAACTATCAAAGAAAATGAAAGAACAAAAGAAGAACAAAGGCAGCGTCCTTATTATGGAATCCGCTTACAATTCAAAAAATGTACAGTTTCGCCTCGTAATGAAACTTTCCCAAGGCCTTCTTCATAAAAAGTGTTTGTTCATAAAAAATGTTTGATTTTGGTAGATCACGGGTTTTTAATGGTCAAAAGTTAGTAGACTTTCGGTGTAAGAATTCAAAACTACAAAAGTCCCGGAAGTAAAACCGTCAAACAATTCTGCAAGAAAAAATATCTTAAACATACAAGAATCTTACCCAAATTTAACCAGATGTTTTTGGCGGTCATAGCTTCCTAGTATTAAATTCATTTTTTTGTGTTGCTTGCTGCGAACAAAAGAGACCACTCGCTTAGATTGAACCTTGTTCGTTCAGTACTGACTGGAAAGTTCCTGAGCTTGATGCAAGGTTGAATGTAGCAGACATTTTTGAAATTGATTTTCATAGATCGGCGTTGTTTGTCTTTCCGAATGCAGATTTCTACAACACGAGCTAGTGGCCATGGTAATGGCGATTGGTTTTCACAACCAACTTCAAATTTATTTTGCTTTGAAGTCTACTCTTTCCGAGACTGAAGAGAAGACAAACACTCTTCGCTCCATCGCTTCCAGAAGATTCCAGTGAATTTCTGAATGTGTGCCCAAAATTTTATATGCTTAAAAATTGAATGTTATCAGGAAGAAGTACTTTTTATATAACATGATGGCTGAGGTTAGGGTCTGCAGGTCCAAGGTATCACTAGACATTGTAAAATGGGTCGAGAGCTGAGAATGGCTTCAAGGTCGCATAGTGGAGTACAAAAGTCCTAGTACTTCAACAAATAATTTCCCAAGCCTGTTCTTAGATATAATTTTCCGATTTTCAATCACGATTCCCCATGAATGCCAAATTGATTAGCTTTTGGCGGAAATAATGATCATGTGATTACAATTTCAACTGAAGTATTGATTGCTTTCCTTGTTTCTTCGTTAGGTTCAATCCGAGTTGCGAAAGTTCAATTTTAGTTCTTAGAAAGTTCGGTCCATTGTCTGAGTACATCATCACTAGAGCATCAAGTCTGGCCAGCACTAGATGTGAGGACAAAGCGGACAATTTTGATGCTAACTATAATAGCATGGCTTCTGTTTCCAAACAACCCAATAAAATTGTACGCAGTTATTACAGCTCTTTTTAATTTTGTGTTAAAAAGAGACCGGAACAGTCGACCCACAGTGAGTGAAGGTATTTTGGTGGTTTTGATCATTTGAATCATTGGATTTTCACACATTTTGTACTAACTGATGAACCGCTGTTTGTAAGTCAACAAACCAGAAATTATTTCAAATCTCGGTCAGCTGTGTATTTGAAGGAGCATGCAAGCACCTCAGGTGCACATCCTGTCGGAATAATCTCGCCATTCTGCTTTTCTTGCGTATTTGCTAGCCCTAACCAGTTGTAGGATAATTGTTTTGAGTACGCCTATCTGACGGTGGAAGATCGCTAAATTTATCTTCTGCGTTTTTCTACTTGCAAAGTGCAAAAAAGACAAAAGAGCAAAGTACTCCTAAGCACTTCTGTAGACTGCTGTTTTCTCCAAAATTAAACAAAGTTTCCCAAAACATAGAACCATCGACAACTGTTGACAACTGCATTTTACTATCCTTCATTTCTATCTTCTGTAATCAGTGATTGCTCTGAAATGCGAATTTCGGATAGCCAGCTCATTACATGCCCACAAAATTTAGAATTTCTTAGTTCCAATGCGGTCTTTGATTAAGAACTTTTGAGTTTATTTTCCTCTTTACATATCGTCAATCGAATGGTTTCATAGTCTCCTGTGATTCATCTAGACAAAAACGAAGAAAAGTTTCATAAAATTTGGGGTCTCAATGATCCAGCACAGAAACAATGGTAGTATTTGGCCAAATTTTGTTGATCGATTTTTTTCTAATTTTAAATAACTATCTTTGAAAGATCCAGTAGTATGCATCCTAGCATAGCTGCACACAATACAACTTGTGGAGCATCAAAACTTTCAGAGGTGACACTCTTGATTAAGCCACACAAGGATTTGCATCTATTTTGTTATGTCCCTGTTCTGGGTGCAACTGGCGTATAATTTTTCTCAAAAAAAATTCAAAACCAATCCTTCACAAACTATTTTGTGAAAACAGGTTCATCAATTTATGAACGTTTTTTCTACGCCTCAGAAAATTCTTCGTTTTGACGTTGGGCAATTTGACGTCCCTCGTGATCCTGGCAACACAAGGATTTGCATCTGTGTTTTTTATGTTCCTGATCTAGGTGCAACTGGCGTATGATTTTTCTCAAAAATATTTCAAAACCAATCCATTACAAACTATTTTGTGAAAACAGGTTCATCAATTTATGAACGTTTTTTCTCCGCCTCAGAAAATTCTTCGTTTTGACGTTGGGCAATTTGACGTCCCTCGTGATCCTAGCAACACAAGGATTTGCATCTATTTTGTTATGTCCCTGTTCTGGGTGCAACTGGCGTATAATTTTTCTCAAAAAAAAATCGAAACCAATCCTTCACAAACTATTTTGTGAAAACAGGTTCATCAATTTATGAACGTTTTTTCTTCGCCTCAGAAAAATCTCCGTTTGACGTTGGGCAATTTGACGTCCCTCGTGATCCTGGCGACCTTGATTGTTTTTTTATGTTTTCAAAAGAAGGTGTCATCGGAATCATTAAACCCACTGAGTCAAAGAGCTTACAGATATCTGAGATTAGAAATCGTTTTGAGAAATTCTCTTATAGTTCATGGGCTACTTGGAATTTGAAAACGTCGTTTTTTATCAAACTTTCAACTCCAACGCTTTTAAAAAGCAGTTTTTTGCTGGGAATTTTTCGATGCAAATCACTCGGTAAGGATCAATGACTTCTGCGCAGCTTTCAAAATTGTGCAGAGAAATTGTTTTTTTTTCTGGTTGACGACTGACATAGGTTATTAGCATTTTAGCAGAGGGTTTGTATTCTGCGCCACCCAAAGAATTGTTAACGTAGAAGTCTTGATTGATTGCTTCTGCGACGCAGCAGATCTTTCAAACAGTTTTGTTGTAAGTGAAGAATTGCTATTTGAGCGTCGATAAAATTGAAGTTATGTCAAAACTCAATCAGCATTGTAATTGCAGCAGCATGCAGAAACATCAAGTGTATATCCTTTAAGTTGAGTCTCAACATTCGAGTTTTTGGTTCTTTGCTGGCACTGACCTTCCGTGAGATAATTGTTGTGAGTGAGTCTCATAGAGGTCAGATGATTGTTAGTACGAAATTTTCTTTGTGTCTTTGCAGTCTTTGAGTAGCCATTGAGAGGTTTCTTGCATTTTGACATGGCGCCAATCGAATGGTTTCAGATTGTCCTGTTTGTCAACCAGAAGATACGGAACAAAAGTTTCAAGAACTTTGAGTCTCGTTGATTTGACAGAAAGTTGATCCACTTTTATACTGATTTTTCAACAATTATCTTTGAATGATCAGCCGAATGCATCCTAGCAAAGTTGTACACAATTCAAACAAGTTCTCATAGAACTTTAGGTCACAGAACTTTAGGACGGCATGTAAATTGGTTTGTAGTTTCACTTTTTCGGGTCATCATTCAGCATTCAATTTAACTTACTTGAAATATCACCACAATCATGAACTTCAAAAGCAAAATCACACTGTTCCAATTTGTTATGCTTTCAAGCAGGGGCGAATTTTGGGCGGGGGAAATCGCCCCGCCGACAGTGTTTGACACCCTGCCGATCCAAAGGGTCCCCTCTTTTATTGTTTTATCCCTTTTCATTGTTTCATTTACTTTGTTATGTTCCTGATCTAGATGCAACTGGCGTATGAGTTTTCTCAAAAAAAATTCAAAACCAGTCCTTCACAAAGTATTTTGTAAAAACAGGTTCATCAATTTGTTTTTTCTATGTTTTCAAAAGAAGGTGTCATCGGAGTCATTAACCCCACTGAGTCAAAGAGCTTACAGATATCTGAGATTAGAAATCGTTTTGAGAAATTCTCTTATAGTTCATGGGCTACTTGAAACTTGAAACCGTCGTTTTTTGTCAAACTGTTCACTCCGAACGCTCTCACAAAGCAGTTTTTTGCTGGGAATTTTTCGATGCAAATCACTCGGTAAAGATCCATGACTTCTGCGCAGATTACAATTTTTTTTGCAGGGAAATTGTCTTTTTTCTAGTTGACGACTGACATAAGTAATTAACATTTTAGCAGAGATATTGACTTCTGCGCCACCCAAAAAATTGTTGACGTAGAAATCTTGATTGATTGTTTCTTCGACGCAGCAGAGATTTCAAACAGTTTTGTTGCAAGTGAAGAATTGCTATTTGAGCGTCGATAAAATTGAAGTTACGTCAAAACTCAATCAGCAATGTAATTGCAGCAGCATGCAAAAACCTCAGATTTAAATACTGTAAGTTGAGTCTCAACATTCGAGTTTTTTGGGTATTTGCTTGCACTGACCTTCCGTGAGATATTTGTTAGGAGTGAGTCTCATAGAAGTCGGATGATTGTTAGTAAGAAATTTTCTTTGTGTCTCTGCAGTCTTAGAGTAGCCATTGATGAAGTTTCTTACTTTTTGACATGGCGCTAATCGAATGGTTTCAGATTCTCCTGTGCTTCATCC